TCAGCTTTTTCTCACTCATATGGCCGAGTCTCTGGTGCCATAGATCCTGGGAAACCTCCTCTGCAACATTGAGACTTTCTGTACTAATCTTCAAATGTGTTTTGTACAACGTCCCACAAACATGTCCTCGGGAAATTTTCAGAACACCCTTTGACAACTTCCATGTGCCTGCGCCAAAGTGATTTTCATATCCTTCTTTGTCAAGAGCCACCACTGACAAAAGATTCAGCCTAAGATCCGGCACATGTCTGACATCCTTCAACAAGATTGTACTCCCAGTTCCTCTCGTTGCCTGGATATCACCAATTCCGGCAATTTCAGAGGAACTGGAATTTCCCATCTTCACCGATCCAAAGTCTCCAGCTTGGTATGTTGTAAAGTATTTTCTGTTGGGAGTAACGTGATAGGATGCTGCAGTATCTACCACCCATTCAATGTCTTCTCTTGAGACATGAAGGCATGTCTCACCATGGGTAGAACAATATGCTACATCACCTGAGACAGTGATAAAAGTTTCACCACTCTTGCCCTTGTTCTTCTGCTGAGAACTATTCTTCGACTGAGAATTGCTCTTGCCCTGCTCCTCGAGCCATTTATAGCAATTCTTCTTCATATGACCTTCTAGACCACAATGACAACATACATGTGATCTCCGATCATCTGATTTCCTTCCCTTGCTTCTACCCATGCTCTTCCCTCTACCGCTTCTTTGTTGTTTGCCTTGTGGTCTTCCTCAATTTTCCATCACAAGGGCATGAGTCTAATCTGTGCCCATTCTTTCCTTCTTGCCTCTTTATTGAATAAGGCATCCTTGACAATGGACATGGAAAGTTTGCCGTTTGAGGCTGAGTTGCTGAGAGTAACAACGAGTGTTTCCCAGCTATCAGGAAGGGAACTAAGAAGTAGCAGAGATTGCATTTCATCTCAAGCAGCATCTCCACACAAGATAGCTGATTTACCAGGCTTTGGAACTCACTGGTATGCTCGGCAACAGAAGTTACACTTTTCAACTTCATATTGACTAAGCGTCTCATCAATAAAGACTTATTCCGAGCGGTCTTGGTTTGGTACATATCCTCCAGCTTCCTCCAAAGGACATATGTGTCGGTTTCTTGTGCAACATGATGGAAGACACTATGATCAATCCATTGTCGGATTTGACCAATAGTTTTTCTATTGATTTTCTTCCATTCTAACGCCTTGGACGGATTAGG